AGCAACATCAGCAACAACAACAGTAATAACAACAACAGTAACAACAACAACAATAACAACAACAACAACAACAACAACAACAGCAACAATGACAGATATTTTCCCTTTCTCTTATATTGGCAAGGTGACATGTATATACAATGCTAGCAATATTTATACATGTACTAACATTAATGATATATAGGCCGTCACACTTGTTTAAGTTTTGCGTATATGGGCATACACACTGTCTGGTTGACAAGAACCAGTCAGTCTCGTCTGAAGATAAAATAAGTGCACTGTTATTAAATTGTACATGTTTCTATTAATAAAACAACTCATGGGTGAAGTTGTCACAGCAGATTGTGGTCTATTGTTAAATTCACATGCTAGTTGTAAAGATACAAAACAACAGTGCGACGACCTATAGCATAGATATTACTAACATATTGGAGAATAAAGTTAAAAATGGGTAAACTGATTTACATTTGTAAGATAGCATCCATGTTAGTAACCATGTCATCCCAATCCCTGCATGATATAGCAAGAAATAAAGAATTAAGAAAAAGATTTATTATACGGTGCAAGCATTATGTGTGTTGTATCATATACCTTAGAATGAGAGAGATGAGCAACTACAGTGTTTTCTTTGTTTTAACCTGGGTTATATAATTCTCTATCCAATTAATCAATAAACAATTTCAATACAATGTCTGTTTACACTGTTCTAACTTCAATATGAATATGTTAATAAATATTAATAATTTTCCAATAATTATCAGAATATCAGCGGTTTCAACATACCAAAGTAAACTGAAACACACTAATATTTTTTTTATAATAGTATGATTCAATTAAAATATGATAATTTGAACATGTGATTTATTTTTCTAAAAACAAATAAAAAATAATAATCAAAACAAGTTGGGGTGACTATCTTGGCTGTTTCAGGATTTCTGAATTTAATATAACTACAAAATTCTGACCACTGTTCTTGAAAATTGTATGATTCAGGTAAAAATTATGTTAATTTGAACAAAATTGTTGTTTTTTTTTAGAAAACTGGCAAAAAGTATGGCATTTCTGGTCTCAGTTGATCTTGACATTTTGAAAATATTGAGATAACAACTTCTGAAAAATGACTGATGATAAATATATATTTTAAATTATTTTTCTCAAAAACGGGTGAAAAATGACAACTCAAAGCATGTCAACACAATCATTTCTGGAAAGACTTTTTAAAACTACTTTACTAAAATAAAACACATCAACGTACGATTCAGGTAAAAATTACACTAATTTAAAAAAGAAATGTTTCACTTTTTTGAAAAAAGGGCAAAAAATAAGACGTTTAAAGGCAAGCCTGATAAACCATTTTTCATCATGGTGAGAGTAAATGCCTGTAAATGTAAATGTAAATTTCTACAATATATTAATTGTCGTTTACCCAATAGCCAGTACTAAAAAAAGTTTGAATACAGTCCATTCTTGTGATTGATGTCATGTAGCCTCCTAAGCTTAGTGATTTGTTCATAATAGTAATAACTCACCATTTTCAATGTATATCATAAAATCTTTTGTATTATAAGCCAGTTGCCTGTCTCTCTCTTATTAAGGTCTGTGATTGTATTTTTGTCAATATGTAAAGATGTTTGTGAAAATGAGTTTTATATGACAAATCTTTGTATCTGGTATACATATTTTTCCTATGTGCACATCCTAACATATACTTGTTCTTACACATACTTAAGCACACATATGCAAATAGAGTTCATTTTGTTGCAAATAATTTATACTAATTATAAGCATGCACAATATGCATGCACGCAACATTGATGGTTGTACATATATTTGGTCATTTTCAAAACACATAGCACCAAGTGATTCAATCATGGCAATTACCATACCCCCCTGCGAATCATCTGCCATTTTTCAGAATGAATGTTTTACCTGACTGAGTAGGACAATAATTTCTATTACTGTGAAATACTTTATTTTAGCTGGAATTAATTTTCACTGAAAAAAACACTTTGGGTATAGAATTTATTTTCACTGATTATTTGGCGAGTTGAATGTATAATATAGGAAAAAAGGTACATTGTATATTCGCTGGATTTTATTTTATTTTCACTGAATCATTACCTCAGCGAAAATTTATTCCAAGAGAAAATAAATTATTTTACAGTAGTGTACAAGGGGAATGATAACAACGGTTTAGCAATGACAAATTTTCTGCAGCCCCATTGTAGTTTGTGCTTTGAACATGTAGGACAGATACAGAAACAATGCAAAGCTCATCAGTAGGAAAATCTTTAGTTAAAATTCAAGTGTTGTTGCTCAAAAATTAGCTTCATTTAACAATAAAGAGAAGAAAGTTGTAATCTCCGTTTGGATCATGTGAGAACAACCTTGTTCTGAAATACAGCCTGGGTACTAATGTAAATGCCAACAGTTTTCAACAAAGAAACAGTCCTTTTGAAGTAAATTATTTGGACCAAGTAAATGTAGAATGTTTAAAACAATAAAAGAATACTCTCCAAGTACTTGTGAACAAAGAATTCTGAATGAAACTGCCTTGTAACAATGGGCATGAGGCAAAGAGAAGTATAACAATAAATAACTGATTAAAGAGATCAATGAGAAATGATGTACATACCTGAGATCATCATCCACTGTTGAAGTAAAAGAATCTGATGTTGATGAAACACTTTTATGTGCCTTCTTTGCTGCTGAACTGGGTTCTAATAATAATTTAGATAATGGAACTGAAAAAGAAATAAGTAAACTGAATAAGTAAACATTTCCCATACTGTCCCATGTCAGGACAGTGTAGAATATGAACAATGAGTTTCTTCCCTAGACCACTAACCTGAATGACTTCTACCATACTGTGGATGCTCTGTTGTTACTTTGATTTTTGGTTTTTCCTTGGCAAGAAACTTATGACTCAATAAATCTGAGGCAGTGGCACGCTTTTCAGGATCAATTCTAAAACACCTATAGGGTCAGAAAATATGAATATGTCTTTAATACAGTATGGCCATCATTGGAGTTTACAACCTGATTTTTTCTTCTTGTATTCAAGATATAGTAAACTATAATATCTACCATCCATCCCAAGATGTAATCAATGAAAGCTTAGAAAAAACTCCTGTGTGCTGAGAGTATTGGAGACACATTAAAAATTAATTCAAAATTACTTGAACTTGAGATATTGATTGAAAAGCTTATGCAAATAAGGTAACTAATATGAACAGATTTAAGTGTAAAACTAATAAGGTCTGCACAATGTAAAAGTAATTAGATCTGCGTAATGTAATATCTATGTACCAAGTTTCATTGTAATGTGATTAGAACCAACAAATTATTAATTATTATGCTAATTAGAGAATTATTATGAACAGATTTTAACCCAAAATTAATCAGGATGTCTATTGTCCTAGAGCATTTATGCACCAAATTTTATTCAAATGTGATGATTAGTACTTGAGATATCAGTGGTAATTAATTATGTTTATTAAGAAGCATAAATATTTACCATAAACTAATATGGTATATATTGAAATGTGATGATGAGTACTCTTTAAAAGTGTCATTAAAATCCAAGGAGTGGTTCTTTAGACATTAGTACAACAGCCATGGAACAGCAAAAAATTAACAAATTAATATGCACAATTATTTACCCCAAAATAATGTCTCTGCACAGTCTTAGAAGATCTATGTCGCAAGTCTTATTGAAATGTGATGATTAGTACTTGAGATATCAGGTGAAGAGCTGAAAATTAACTAATTATGCAAATTAGGTAATTAATATGTACTGATATTACCCTAAAAACTATCAGGTCTGTGAAGTGTCGTATTACATCTATGTACCAAGTTTTATTGAAATGTTATGATTGGTACTTGAGATATCAGTGGAAAGGCGAAAATTGGTTAATCAATATGCAAATTAGGTAATTAATATAAACAGATTTTTACCAAAACCCGGCCTAATCAACTCTGCGCATAATCCCAGAGCATCTATGTGCCAAGTTTCACCAAAATTTGATTAGTGGTTCTTGAGATACATACATACAGACATAAAGACGTACATTTCTGATTTTTATTCCCCGATATATATATAAAAAACGTTTACAGTACTATACATATAAAAATGTTCATAACAATTCTCATAAAAAGTAATAATTATCAATTTACACTAGTAAATAATACGAGAACAATAAATTAATGTTTACGAGAATGCATTTTAGTAATTATAAAAACGAACAAATACAAACCTTTGAGGAATATATGAAATAATTATTTATATAAAAAATTAATGTATTATTATTGCAAAATTGAAGTTTTTCGAAAATATATAGAATTAAAGTTCAATAGAGAGGTTTCCATGCGGGCTGTAACCATGTCTATAGTACATCACGTAGTATCTAGAGATAGCTGGAGTTGGTCGTTAACGACCGTGGTTAGGGCTTCATTTGTACAAAAACGATCTTGAAACACATCCAAGAAATGGTTCAGTAAGTGGAATCTGAATTCATTGTTCGGTGTATCAGTTAGTTTCTGGATTAAATTATTAAAAGTGGTGAACACATGCGTCAACCTGGGACAATCCAGAAAAATGTGGACTAGGTCATCCTTTTCCTGACAAAACAGACATTTATCGTCTCGAATACGCGACTTTACGAGGAAGCCGCCAGTGGGATATGCAGCATGCATTAGCCGCCACCGGAGGTCGCCGTCCTTTTTAGTGATGGGTGGTGTATAGCATGCAGTGAAATTGGGTTTGCTGTTTTGACTAAATGACAGTATGTCATTATACACAGTGTGGTGAAGTGTATTGTCACAATTCAGCTTCTTCAGTATAACTAGAAATTTGTATAGGGAACCCCTCTCAAACTTATACAAAGGGTAATTCAGAAAAATGTCACGCTCATCGTCCCTATATATCAGCTCTAACGAATATTTCGTAGCACGTGATTCAGTATCTGGACCATTGTAGATAATATTTTTCCACTTTAATGGAATTGCTTGTTTTATAGTATCCATTGCTAAATTAAAGATCCATTTTGAATAGATCGGTACCGACTCATGAATAACGTCAGCATCTTTCCAGCCATTTTGATCAATCAGATCACCAATTTTAGTGATCCCGGCTTCGTGAAAATGAACCATATTTAGTGGCGTGTGTTGCAAGTTATGAAGAATAAGTGAGTTGTGAAAAAGTGGTTCCTGACAGATCTGATTATATGTCGATGGTCTATCCTTCCGTAAAGTTGGGAGTGATGACCATACCTTGTGCAAGTCAGAGTAAAAATCTGTTTGTCGTAACGCCGCTTGTGTATTTGTTGGAGAAAGTAGTCTGTAAAACCGAAGACTGGATGATCAATGTCAGAGTATAGGTAGTGCCGTTAAAGTCCTAATATAAACCGCATACGTAATAGTAACCGCACCCCCAATTCCGGCTTCGGGGTTAAAGAGTTCTTAACAAAAATTGAAAACTTGAAAAGTACCTATTACTAACCGCACCCCCAATTCAACAAGACCGTGACTGACTTCATTGTTTCAACCAGCTGTTCCAAAACGGCATTGTTCCTAAATCCTATTCATTTGTTTCGACAACATGCCTAAAAATATTCACACCTATTTATTGTTCAGCGGTGATAAGATGTCAGACAGGCAATGAAACTGCTTTTGTTCTGGCGGCGACCTCTGTCAATACTCTTTCTGAATACGTCTGTG